GGACTGTATTATTTGATGCTCTTTTGTTGTTAGGTGCTGATGGAGATGTTTGGGCTTTAAAAATCCACTGGGGTCTCATGGACGTGTTTCGTAGCCAACTGCGGCCGCCCAGCGCGTGGCAGCGCGTGGCGCGTGGGCCTGGCACGGTGCTGGCCTCGGGCATGCAGCTCCTTGGCTCTCGGGCTTGCAGAGTGGTGGGCTGGACCTCCGGTGGGACGTGGCCTTTGTTTGGTGCCTGCAAACAAAAGAATGTGCAAACAAACAATGCAAATGGGAGACGCACAGAGCACCCAGGGTGAGCACCTCCTCCATGGCCTCCCCAGCCAGCAGGTGGGTCTGGTGCTGTCCCTGGTTGTGGTGGTGGCAATAGCCAAGCTGCTGTGGGGAAGGGCACGTGGTGCCAGAGACAGTGGTGCTCATTAAGTGCTCTTTCCCATCACTGGAAAAAAAAAAAGGCTTAACATCCCTCTTTGGTCACATGTCAGGGTGCAAAAGTACAGTATAGCCATGCTGCAGAGTTCTGTTTATTGGCTTTTGGGCTTGCTATATGGGAAGGTTTGAACTGGGGCAGAGAAGAGAACAACTGCCCTCAGATGTGACCTTGAGCTGGGCCATGCGTGAGTGTCTCTGTCTCACACTTAGGTCAGGCCATGGAGCAGAGGACACCTGATAGCCTTTAGCGGGGACAACCGTGTCCTCTCCAGTGAGGGCTGCCTGCTTGCGGGCGCTCGCGCTGTTTCAACACAACTGGCTCACAGAAGCGCTAACAGTTTTCTCCATCACCCTCTGCTCTGCCAGGAGCTCGTGCACAAACCCTGGTCTGAGGCTGCCACAAGCCACTGTTTTTTAAATAAAAATTTATGGAAATGTGGGAAGCGCTACCGTCAAAATCCCACGGCACCGTTTGCACTACCGTCAAAATCCCACGGCACCGTTTGTGCTCAGTGCCATGCGGCAGTGGCTGGGCTGGGGTTTGGTGGTGGCAGGCAGCAAATCTGGTGCCTGACGCAGCCCTGGTGTCACCCTCCTGTCCCCAAGGGCACCGTTACTCCAGGTGCCCTGTGTTTCCTCCCTGGAAGTCGCTTTTTCCTGAGCGTCAGTGTTGGGCTCGGGCTCATTTTGGCCTCCTCGGCACCTCTGCTCCAGGTCGCAGCATTTTTTCCCCTGCAGAAGCAGGTAGCAGTATTAATCATACCCACCTTTCACAAACATCGAGGCGATGTGCAGCAGCATGAAGGAGGCCTGCCCAGCGCCTCCGGCCACGCTCGTGCCTGGGGCTCTCCGCATTCTGCTCCTGCCGCCATCTCCTGCCTGGCTCCGCACCAGAGCAGACACCCCTCTACAACCGACGGGCAGCGAGGACGGAGCGGAGCGGAGGCAGGGCTTTCTCCTGCACCTCTGGTGAGACTAGGGAAAAAAAAAAGACATATTTTCCTGACAGATTTCTAAAGTGCGTATTCCCTGCTGATTTGACATTGGGCAGGAAAAATGTCTACAGAATCAATTTTTAATAAGTGTAAACAGCTGAATTATGAATGACAAAAATATCACTGAACAGTTAAATATTAATCATGTAATTACTTAAATTAATACTTTTGGCGCAGTGTCGTGGTGCAGAGTTTTGCTTACATGGCACCAGGCCGGGGCCAGGCAGGAGAGGCGGCTGCTCTGCTGACACCCCTGGGACCGCCTTAGTAAGCAAGGATTTGCACTTTCTGCTCAAAAATAGAGCGTTTATCCATATTTTGGGGCTGTCCAGAAGATACCTGAGCTGTAGTCTGCAAACAGAAGACAGAAACCTCGGGTGCTATGAGGTACGATGTAGGCCTCGTGTGTCTGACACACAGCACCCCAGCTGCACGGCCCGGCACTGTGGTGATCCTGCAGGATGCAGAAGGGCTCCGGAAGCTTCCGCTGCTTCCAGGACTGAGCTCAATGAGTTTTTGAAGGCATGAAGCCTCCCATTAACAGGTTATCTTCTAAAAGTTAGCGGGAGCAGCAGAAGCACAGTGGGAACGCGCTAAATGTTGGCAACGGGAGGTGGAGGCAGTGGAAGCGCAAGCTCAGGATCCTGAGGCCTTTAGCTGTTTTGACTGAACCCGTTATCGTGTATGCTCTGCCTGGAAATTAAATCTTGGACAAAAGCTTGGAAAGTGTTTATATATTAAAAAGTGAAGTGTCTCTTGCAACAGGTAGGAGCACCACAGAAGCATTCATTGCTCACACTTACCATCTCTGTAGGATCTAAGCTTAGCTCTTTTTGCCTTCTGCCTCTCATGTTCCTGAGGCTTCCACCTGGGTACGAGCTGGACACGTCACACCTGCCTGGCATAAGCAAGGGTTTCTCCTAGTGATGCCCCAGCCTATGCCGAGCATCCCAACGTCTTGTCGCTATCTTCTTCTGGCTGAACAGCACAGAACCGTTCCCATTCCCTTATCCTCGGCAGCCTTCGTCTGCTCTCCAGCGTGCACAAACACTGTGGGTCCCAGTTGTAGTCCCTTTGGGACACTGGACACCGAAATGTTACAGCCCATGGGACCTCTTCAGTGCACGTGACCTCCTGTGGCATCAGTTAAGCCTCAGTCTGCTCCCAGCCAAGTCCACTCCTGTACAAGACACGAAAGGTTTTCATAATTTCCAGACAGCATGCAGACTCGTTTCCCTAAATTTCCCTAAATCACTAATATTTATATATGCCACAGTATTTCCTTAAAGAACAGTCGGCACACATTTTGCTTCCCACCTTCCATACATGGTGTTTCATTCTGTCCAACCTGAGACTTGTCTGTGGAGCATATTGGCAGCAGGTGTGGGGTTTTCACACTGTTCTTGGCCTTGCAGCTGAGTTAGCCCGTGGTGCAGTCTGTGGTAGATGCTGCCTTCTCCTGTCACTTGAGTACCCTGTGTGCGCTCAGGGTGTTGCATTTGCCAACTGACTTTGTACAGGTACAGGTTATATTGGTGAGGAAAGAGAAGCAGGAGGACTTTGTGCATGTAGGGTTACAACATACTGCACTGAAGTTTGTCCTTGGAAAATAGCAGCCCCCTAAAACGTCAAATAAATCCTTAAGCTATTCATCACTCTGTTTTTGGGGTGGCAGTTAAGTCTTTCAACACTCTGCGAGTTTCTTTCCCCAGCAGTAATTTTGCTGGTGAAGAAATACAGCTCAGGGCACTCCACAAAGGCCTCAAAATTCATGTTTTGTTTTCATTACCAAAAAAATGCTTTGCTACTTTAAAGAACAGTCCATTAACATTTTGTATCCTGCATCCTTTCTCTGCTGGCACCAACAGCACCGAGGAGCTGAGCCGCAGCCTTGCATCGCTTTCGCAAACCTCACAGAAGAAGGGCTGCGAAGGGGAGGAGGTTTAAGCCACAGCCCAGCTTGTTTGGGTGTAAGATCAGTTCTCAAAACTTTCAGTACTCAGGCAAATTTACTCAGTAAATGCACAGCGCGGAATATTAAGTTGTGGTATCAGTATTACCTCTGCTTTCAGTCCAACTCAGAACGGCACACGAGCTCCTGTGCACATCTAGGGAAATACATTAACTGTCTGGTTCCTGGACTAAATTTTAACACCATAAAAAGCAATATATTTAGCTGTCTCAGGCAAATAGCCCTAGCATAATAATGAAAAGGAAAATAATGAATTACTGGAAGCTCACTGAACCCTGGGATTATATAAATTAAATGTTGCAGAGTAAACTGGATTGCTTTTTTTTCAGATATAGTTGAAAGACATTGAAGAAAAAGCAGTAAATGTATTATAATTAGGGTTTGGGGAAGCATTTGGTTATTCTCATAAGTAAATCAGACCAGCCAAATGCTAACGCAGACGTGAGGGAAGGTGCAGGCAGTAACGTGTGGGGCTTGCACAAGACGGCAGAGGGCTTTTCAGCTGAATTCAGTGGGGGTTTGCAAAGTCCAGTCTCATTTAATATCTCCAAAATTAATTTAGAAATGTGGCATATGAACTAAAATTGCAGCTAAACTAGGACGTTGCCGCCACCAGGGCCCTGCTGCGGTGGGCGCAAGGCCGGCGCGCGCCCCGCTCGTGGGGAGCGACGCGGCGAGGCCAGGGAAACGGCGCGCTGGGGAACGGTCTCGCTGGGACATAGCGGCATCCTCCTTGGCAGCGCTGTTTGAAACGCGGCTTTGAAACACTAGATGCGGCCGCCGGGAACAATGCGGCTCTGCCGGAGATGGGCTCAATTACTTAATAGGTCGCTGCTGTCCGTCTCCTGTGATTTTCCTTTCAAGAACATACATTCAGCTGGGTTATTTCTCATGGGAAGACAGAGCGCTCGGGAGCAAGCTGGTGGTCGGGAGGGAGGAGAGGACCAATGCAGCCTGGTCAGTGGCCGCTCTGCTTCCCGCAGCGCACACAGGGAGCCCCATGTGATGAGGTTTGTGCTGCACTTTGCTCCTGGTTGCACCAGCTGCATTCCCGACCTCATGCGTCTCCCTTCCTTTTCCTTGCTCATTGCTTACCATGGTCCCTGGGTCACTATCCTGCTACTGCCTCCAGCCTTGGGCCCTTTGCCCAACCCCTGGGCAGCTTCTCCAGGAGGGAAGCGCTTGGATGGCGTTGGATCAAAAAGACACGGCACCGGTGCCAATGCCGGCGTCCGGCACTGCTCCCATCGGCTTCGCACGCGCCCGCGTGGGCAACGTACCTGGCAAGGACGGTCACACCAGCATGACTGTGCCAGCCGCAAGGCGACAGCTTCCCCGGCGCTCCTTCCGTCGGGTTGGGGGCCGCATTTGCAGCCCTGGATCTGGGCTTCAGGAGCTGTCGCTGCCGACATGCACGTCCATATCTGCAGGGTCAAAGCACCTCCCAGGGTGCACGGGCTTGTGTTCCTCACCAAATTAAGATACAGAATTGGCTTATGCACATGGAATTGATGTAACTAAACTGGCTGGAGGTTTTTGAGCCCTAAGGGTGTAACGAGATTTTGTCTCTTTTGCCCATTTCTTTTTCTTTTCTTTTTCAGAATAAGTCGTCTGTTTAATGGTACAGAGCCTATTGTCTTGGACAGTTTAAAACAACATTATTTCATTGATCGAGACGGTGAAATTTTCAGATATATATTAAGCTTCCTAAGGACATCTAAACTACTGCTCCCAGATGACTTTAAGGTAAGGAAAGCCACAGTCTACAGTCCTATTTTTTTTTCCTCTTTCTCTCCATTCTGTCATTTATTTTGGTGCAGGTTGGTATGCGTGCTTGACCTAAACACACTTAACTAAGTGCTGCTGTTTATTGTTAGGATTTTTAGTACTTGTGTGTTACACTAGGGATGCTATTATTTAATAAATGGACCAATGGTTGTCATGGATACCATAAAAAGTTAAACGATGAAGCTTACGGATAAATCAGTTTTTCTAAACTAATTGTATTTTCTCACATTTCTAGCTTATTTATCAGGGTATAACAACAATTAAGAAGCAACACTAGCAGCTAGCACTTAACCAGGGTTTAATGTTCAGAATCTCAAGTAAATGTTTTAAATTTGATGGTCAGAGAAATTAAGCTGTATAAATCTTTCTCTTGTTGATATTAAAACACCCAGAAACAGAGCCATGAGGATTTCTGTTAGGTATAACCAATGCAGATATTTTCATTTCAAGCAGCGATCTTAACAAAATTCATCAATAGCAGAATATTCTTGAAAAATGGAATGTACAGAGGAGACTCTAAGGAATAATACCCGATTTCTATGACATAATGGCACTAGGTTCCTTTGTAAATCCTGATCGCTGAATTGCTCTCCTCCTAGACTTACTTTTTTGGCTTTGCACTTACCAGACTTGCAGCACTGTCATCCTTATGTATGGAAATTAGAAGTCAAAAGTGCCCAAACTGTAGACGGCAAGATCAAACTAAAGCAGCAGCTCCAGGAATATGGAACATGGTGAATATGCTATAGGGATAACGGGGATCCTCTTGGGAGACAAGGAGCGTTGCTGGGAACAAAAGTTCCCGCCTGACGGGGCGATTTCACGTTCATGTTGCGCTGGGCAGGCCAGGTAGCTTGGCCAGTGGTCCCTGAGTCATCCCGAGTTTGTGGTGGTTGTGGCAGTTCAGCCCTGGCGCGGCCGGTCCTGCCAAGCAGCTCGGAGCCGTCTTTGCCGGGGCGGCGAGCGCCATCACAAGTGACCCGGGCGGCACAGAGCCTGTGGGTAACGTTAACGGGTGGCACCGGCTGCGAGGGAAGGGCTCATCCCACGGCGGGAGCCGCCGTGGCTCCCACGGGCCGTGCGGCTGCTCCAGGCTGAGCGCTGTTCTGAGGACAGGCCTCTCCGCAGCGGCGGGCGGGCGACCGCGCGCGGAAGCGGGGGCTGTACGGAGAGCGGGGAGGAAACGCGCGGGCAGGAGCACGGCGGAACACCGGGACGTTCCTGTGGGCTGCGAGGAGCGAGTAAAGGCAGGGGTGGAATTATGGATTTAAATGCCAGAGATGCCGTTAGCGGCAGCGTTTTGGACAGTGTGGCGAAGCGGGGAGCAGTGAGAAGAGGGAATGCGAGCGAGATTTTGGTGGCCTCGGCTGGCAGCGCGTTTCGGAGGTGCTGCAGAACGAACCCAGCAGGATTCCTAGGAGCCCCGAGGTGAGGAGGGAGGTTGGTGGATGCCAGCGACCTGTCTGCGCAGCAAGGTGCTGGCGGGGCTGCAGGAGCGCCCGCTCCTGTGCCCGCACCCGGCCGCTGCTCCACACCAGCTTTTTGCATGGGGTTAACTGTATTTTATTTAGTTCCTCCCCGAGAGAGCTTTAGAGCAAACCCCAGGCTAATGAGGGCTCAAGAACAAAGCAGAGTACTGCTAGGTAGGGAGTAACTAAATAAAAATGCATAGAAGAATGTGCTGCAAAGCTGTATTAAAACTGCATTGTAAACGGATTTGACTTCACAGAAATCTTGTAATTTTACCAGCATGATTAAAGTGACAGAAGACAATAATCAAAGGCTGCAAATGGAATCACTTGGTGTTTCTAAATGCAAAACGCTATTTAAGGTATAAAACCTGACAGGTTTTCCAGTGAGACTTGCATTAAATGTTCTCATTGTCAAACAAAGCATTATCAAGTGTTTTGAATATTTATTAGTTTTTTACCCCTTAATTTAATCAGCAGTTTATTAGCCTCAAGGTTTAGCCAAGTTGCTTTTCAACTTGAATTGCTGCTCAGATGGTTATTTTGGAAAGTTTGGAATGTTACTACCACACCAACGTTATTGTGTTTGCTATTTAAGTGTTCTTTTCAGACTAAGTTGACACCAAAATGCAGAGAAAATGGGGTATGTGTTCCTAGGCTAGTGATTCTTTATCATCAAGTCTGGCTGGTGTGTTTACAGTGAATATGAATTACGCTTCCAGTTAGTAATAAGCTAGAACTTGAAAGTCAGTCTTTGGTCTGTGACAGATGTCCCTCCTCAGAGCAGCAGTGCAATAGGTCATACAAGTTTCTTGGGTTTTGTGGGTTTTAAGCTGCATGTGACGTTACGGTGAGCTCGTTGGCCCCGCTGTGCTTTGGGCCCAGGCTGTGCTGCGCCGAGTGACGGCGAGCAGCGGGACGAGTTATCCTCTGCCCTACCTGTCCCCACCAGAGGAGTGCTCAACAGGGTCCTTATGACCAACATTTGCCCTGTTCACTTTCATTACAGATCTTCAAGCAAAATCAGCACCATGCTGCACATCGTAGCTATTTATCTGAGATTGCTTGCTTGCTTAGAGGTCTTCAAACACAAGTTGACATTGGCAACTCGTATTTTCACATATATTTTAGGAGGAAGGGATCCAAAGCCACAGGAAGTCTGAGTTTCATATTGTCTATAGAGGTCACCTGTAGCATTGGAACCACAAGACCAGTGCTCTACTTTCTTAATACAGTCTTAAAATCAATATAGCTGCATTGGGTACTCTCAAACTTACCTTAACAAACAGCACAGTCGTAGAAGTGAGCAGCTTTTTGTTGTAGCCAGGAGTCAGATCTTCACAGTACTAAAATATAGAATAAATGTTGAGTCAGGGGGAGAATTTGTTGTTTCACATAAACAGAGCATAACAACTAAAAAATGTGTAGATAGAGCCATTTGGGCAATTGAGGAGTCAGTTTTAAATACAAAAAATAAAGAACCTCTTCAGTACTGAGCTTCAACATGAGGTTCACATGAGACAGCCTTACAGTTTCTGTCAGTCCCCTCTTAACCTGTATTTGGCAGATCTGTAATGACACGTTGGCATGGACATCCTCAGAGCAGCTTCTTGCACTAACACTTCCTCTTCCTCCCCAGGAGGGTACAACCATTGTAGGGTGATTACAAAATGTAGCTAACCACACACACACACAAACAAACAAAAAACTAAACCATGAGCAGATTTGTGAAAGCCAAAAAGCTGTGACTCTGAAAGCCTTGCTGATCTTTCCTCTGAAAACTCAATGTTGTCCAGAAGCAGAAGGTGCAGAGAAGGCTGTGTGCAGCCCTAGCCTGTCTGCTGCCTTTGCAGGCGATCTGCCAGCACTTCTCCCCTTCGTGTTAGAGATACAGAAGTTCTTGCCTTACGCTGTGCTTGTGGCTTCGTGTGCAAGCAGCAGGAGGGACTCAGGCACACGGGGCTGCCGTCCCGCTCCGGCACGCGCGCAGGCTTGGACTCACGTGCTGAATATCTAAGCGCAGGGTTGGGCTGGCCGTTCTCCCCGCGCTCTAGCAGGGAGCAGCCCTGCTCGGGAGCAGGGCCCGTGGCTGCAGAGTCACCCGCTGAGCTCCCTGCTCAGACACGAGCGCGGTGCCGGCTGCCACGCGCAGGGCCTGGCCCTGGGCTGGGCTGCCACGAGGTGCTGCCTAAGAGGACAGGACAGTAGGGACCTCATCCCTAGGAGAAACAGAGATTCCTCAGCAGATCTGCAGGGCAAGGAGCTGCTGCGCCCACCAGCTAGTCCTGTGCTGGGGAAATGTGCCTCTTCTGGACAGGCCGAGGAGGTCTCTTGTCTGCATCTGCCCTTGGTAACTCACCAAAGTGACCGGCACGGAAATATTTCTTGTAACTCCTTTGGCACCTCCCTCACAGGGGTCCCTTGCAGCTTAATTTTTTTTCTACTTGATTTAAATAATTACTAATCAGAGTGGGATTTTACACATAATGTGCAAGAGTGGAAATATCCATGTCAGTATTACCTGGATGTCTCAAGTGTAGCACGGACAGTCGGAGATGCGCATCGCTGTCAGGCCAGGCGCAGATGCACAGTGCTCTGAGGGGTTTATAATACCTGCATGAGAGAGCAGTGTATTTTACAATATGATGAGTTCATCAGCATGCCCAAGCACAGATTTTACAGAGAATTTGACCCCCATGCTTTGTGTCATTCTTTGTTAGTGCTTTTGTAAAATGCTCCATCCCTATACATACATTTAAGATTCTAAACAGTTTTGTTAGAAATCCCTTTTTCTAGATACAGAACTTTTTCTGGCACATTTGTGCTGAACCCAAGCAGGAAGGGAAATCCAAAGGGAGATAAGATGCATTGTGTGTGGTGGTGAATTTTGATTTTAAAAACGAACTCCAACTTGTTGGCTTAAATCCCAGTGGTTATGACTGGAGTGTGTGGGTGTGGGGGTGCATAGTCACTCCCGTAAAGCACTTCAAACTTTACCATAACTCCTGTTTTCCACCCAGCAGCCTGAAAGGTGTATTGTATCCTCCTGGGAACAGTTGTGGAAGGGCTTTTTCACTTGAAAACTGATTGTTTGCCTTTTCACAAAAAGAACATTAGTATTTAAACTTTATCTTGTTTATATTAGGACTAATGTTGGTTACTAATGGCTTGGATTAAATGCTGTGGGCTAATAGATGGCTGTGGAAAAGAAAGAGATAGTGTGATCCTCATTTTGTTTGGTTTATGGCATTACTGTTTTGGCCTGGAGGTGCGAGACCATTGAACTCCTGTGATTCTGGATACTCTTAGTCCTGTTCAAAACCTGGTGAAGTTGCTTGAAAAAAAGTCATTGAGTTAATGGGCTTTACATCTTGCCTTAGGAATGTTGTACCTCTGTTGACTTTCAGAAATGAAGGACTGATTTTTATATGGCTGTACCATCTCTCCTAGGTTTTACTGGAGAGCTTTCTTAGCACAGAGTCAATTGATTGACCTTTACAAATAGCCTCTTATAGTGACCGTGGATGCAGATATACAGGTCGTACAGGAAGGAGTGGCAGACTTTTCCCCCTCCATCAGTGCTCATTTCAGAAGTGTGGCCCCGTGGGGCAGAGGGGCAGCTGTCCTCAGCCTAGACTAGCAGGCAGGAATGAGGCCTTGGGGCTGGAGGTCTCATACCTGGGACCAGAATATGCAGCCGGCCTCCGAGGCCCTTCCAGCTGGCTGGTTCCTACCTCCAGTGTTTGCAGCATGCTTTCTGCCTAGCTTCTTCTTTAATTTTCCTGTTGATTTTCATCTTCTGGCTTCCTTCTCCTGGGTGTTTGTTGCCCTCATTTCTTCTGACTTCTGTTATCACCCTTCAGTTGCATTCTCCAGTCCTTTCTTCTCCCCAAGTGGTGTGCATATTGTCCCAACCCTAGAAGACATCAAAGGCATGCAGAGGATCAGATGTCCCTTTTGTAATGCGATAACCTTGCTGGTGTCGTTGTTAATATTCATGGATCTCTAGGCTGTAGGCAGCCCTGGGGTGAACAAGCACCTCTCCACAATCGGCAGTGGGTCTGTAGTGCCAAATTTGAACACAGCTCACTGCTTTGGTTCAATAAGATCCCACAGCAGCAGATTTTACAGGTTAATTCCATGCTGCTGTGAAAGTAGTACCTTTTTTTGCACTGTATATTCAATGGTCTTAGATTGTCCTTTTACCTTGTGTCCTAGAGCAGAGGCACTGCACTTCTCCACCTTATAATTTTGGGTGCCCATTTCTTGATAATTTCATTTCCTTCTTTCTATCCTTCTTCCTATCTATAATTCCATTAATTCCACTGATAGGATTATTTATATCCCTGAAAATGAGCTGCAGGTCTGCATGGACGGGTTCTGGGGCCAGATGGGTGCTGGGGTGCTACTTCTGCCACTCCTCTGCCTGCAGGAGCCTGAAGGCAGCAGGGAGGCAGGTGAAAGCAGAGCAGCCCCAGGTGTTTCTCAGGCTCTGGTTTCTCTGGCCCAGTGCATGCACTGACGGGCACTGCTGCCCTTTCAGTTTGGAGGGCTAATGACACCCTTTTTCTCAAGGTGCTCTCGTGTTTTAAACTGAGGTGGGAAAATCCACTGGAAATTTGATGAAATGTTATTAACGAGCATGTGCAGAAGACATCTTTATCAATTAACTCAGAATTCAATCAAATTGGGAACTTGAATTGCCCAAGGGCCTGAGTTAGGACAAATGTCTGGAAAGAACTGTTTCTTAGAAGTTGTCAGAGCGCACAGCTGGGCTCCCAGCCACTCATACGGTCATTGCATTCGTCAAATTTATCAGGCTCCAAAATATGTTTAAACGCAAGAACAATCATGAAAACACAAGGGAGTTTTTCCACCTGAGCGTCTGCAGTTGAAATTCAAACTCAGCAAAGACAGAGGGAAAGAGAGAAGCTGGATAGGCATCTCTGCCTCACAACATGAATGGGAGAAGTGACAACCAAGTCCCAGATTTTCTGTTGTAAGATCTATGCCAAGAGTGAAGATTAAGGCTCAAGACTTCTTCTCTTACATCAGCAGGCTTTGCTTATTGCAACCAGTTATTTTGATTTCTTAATCCAAAAGTAAAGCCTTCTGGCAGTGAGCTTGTGGGATAATAAATGAAAGAATAATGCAGTGCAATGGGAACTTCATGGTCAGCTCAAATAAATTCAACACTAACAGAGTGTGGTTTTCTGTGTAGGTGTAAAACGAAGACAAAGTATGTGGATACCTGTTGCCTTTGCACTCCTGCTGACAATACATAAGCCTAAGTAGGTCGAACAGGCACAATGCTCATTTTTAGAAGAGAACTATAAGCATTTCTAGTTTTTCTCTCTTCTCCCTCTCTCTTTTTTATTTTTTTTTCTCCAGGACTTTAATCTTTTATATGAAGAAGCAAAGTATTACCAGCTGCAGCCAATGATTAAGGAACTTGAGCGATGGAAACAAGAGAAAGAACAAAGGAAACATTTCCAGCCTTGTGACTGCTTGGTCGTAAGAGTGACTCCAGATCTGGGGGAAAGAATCGCATTGAGCGGGGAGAAAGCTCTAATAGAAGAGATCTTCCCTGAGACAGGGGATGTCATGTGCAACTCCGTAAACGCAGGGTGGAACCAAGACCCTACCCACGTTATTAGGTTTCCTTTGAACGGATACTGCCGGTTGAATTCAGTGCAGGTAATGCCTTTTCAATGCGCTCTCATGCAGATGCTGGGTTTTTTTTTTTTTTTGGATTTTGTGTTCAATTATATGCAAATTATTTGCTTCTGCCCAATTACCTTCAGTTCTTATACTGCAAGGAGACATTTTCTGCCTGGTGAGATCACAGTCTTTCAGGTTTTGCTAAGTCTAAGCAGAAAAATAGATTTAGATTTTGTGTATGTTAGTGCCATGCTGGTCTCATAATGGTGTTATACTGATAAATGCTAATTTTTTCATCAATGTATAGCCTGCAGCAGTTTTTTTTTTCCTCTAAAGTGCCCCCAGGAAGAAAGAGAGAGTTCCGAAAACTACAAAAAAAATCTCCACACCATTTTATAGAAAATGCAACAATGTGTAAATGCATAATTTATGTCTCACTCATAATTAAATGATGGTGCCTGCGGGATGGACTTAAAAAAATTGATCTCTGCACTTTTTTTTTTCAAAAGGATGTTCTATAAAAATTGCCCAGAGTATTTTAAACAAAATGTATTTCATTTTATACTCAGAGTTTTGACATTAGGTTTAAAATTAAACATATGAAACAAAGGAAGATAACTGGACAGATAGGTGAATGGAAGCAGAAATAAATACATAACTTGTGTTTAGTCAGCCTTATGGGCAAGAAATGGCATTTCAGAAGGGATCACAACCACTATGGCCAAAGCTTTGCTGTTGGAGCTGTCCTTGGGCTGAGTAGAAAGAACTGTGTTGATGATGCTCTTAACTTGTGCCGTAATTAACCAGGGCAAAACCCAGAGCTCTTGGATTTTGCATGTATGCCTTACAAAGAATGCATGTGCTAGGGAAAGTGAGACCTTCTGACCCACAGGGAAATACTTCAAAGTTATTGTCACCTGCAGAGCCGCTAACTGGGCTGTGGGAAATGACTAAGCGGTTCTGATGAACTTCCCTGGGGGAAAATATCCACCAAAAAGCCGGCCCTGAGACAGCCTGGCCAGACAGGTTCAGGAGGGAGCAAGAACAGCAGGGAGCCTGGCCCTGCTTTCCATGCCCGTTGTCTCTATTTGCTCTGCAGCTGGACTGAGACTCCCTGCATCTCTCAAGCTGCCAGGTGGGAACATTTCCGGGAGCTCCCCTGCTACCCCGGACAGGCAAAGGTGGATGGTAGTTCTGCCAACCCACATTTGACGCTGGCAGCCTCTTCCTTGGGAGAGCAGCATTCACCAGCCCACTGCATGCTAGTAGAAGCTTTTGCTTGAAACCATACTAAAAATCAAGGTAAAAAATTAAGGTTGAGGACTCCCAAGTATTTTGCTTGGTTAACTTACCAGCCCAAAGCCTGTGGTTACTCCTGCACAGTCCTTACCAGTTAGGGCTGCCCCAAAAGTAGAAGACTCTGGAGGTAGGTCAGAAGCAGGTCCACTTGCTGAGACTGGGCATAGAGATGAATTCACCCCTGTCTGGGAGAAAGGAGCTGCAGTTTAGGTAAGATAACTGGGACTGTGTTCGTGTTTCAGCAACAATCTCCACAGGATATGTTTAGATTCACTGAAAAAATTAACTGAAACAATGAAGAGTCAATGCCAGCCACTGCCAGGCTCGGGACTGAGGCTGGCATTCAAAGCATGGGATGTCCAAGTGGCTCAGCAGTTGGTGCATTTTACTCCAAAGTGATCTATTAGTAGACCTTGCTTGTAGTAAAGGCTGAACACTAGTTATTTTAATACTTAGATGTGTCTTGACTCCGACCAGAATTCACTCAAAATTCTACCAGTACCAAAGAGCCTCTTTGTATTGGTTCATCTTGTGCAAAGTAATTTTTTATGCCGAAGTAGTCTACAGTTTAAATAATTTTGCTAAGTGACATAATTTACTACATAATAGGAAGTGTTCTCAAGCACTTTCTGGAAAATTATGTATTTCTGAGACTGATGAAATCAGCAGCTAATTGTCATGGGCGCTGAGGGACCCTGGTCAGCACACAGGAATTGCACTTGCCTTTCCCAATATTCTTTGGCTAACCCATAGCAAGGCAGACGTTGGCAGTACACGGATGTTAGTGCAGAGGTGTGAGGAAGGTGGATCTGGAGGCCTAGGAACCAGGAGAGTAGCGTTGTTTCTAAAGAAGCTCGAAGTGTGACTTGATGAGACTGCTTGCTTTTTACTGAAATACTTTTGACCTTGGTGCTCTGCATAGTGTATTTAGAAGCACAACTGTGGTATTTATAAGTTATTTGACTCTTACATTTTTTTAATAAAATGCTTTGTGTCAGAAACCGTGCATGTAAAACAAAGAATGTCTACTATAGTAGGCAGTGGCAGGCAAAAAAATAACAGCCCTCAGTCAATGCCCGTTTGTAATTTCATACGGGTACAGAGTTTTCTTAAGACTGAAATTGTTTTTTCAACTCCTCACAGCAGGGTTTGATGAGACACGTGAACATACCTAGAGAAAATTGTGTGACGTGTTTATGTTGAACATTCTTTGTAATTAAGACTGTATTTGTTAATATTCTGTGAAATTTAAATGAAATGCATTAAATGAAAGTATCATGTTTCTATTTGGAAAGCCTTCCAACAAAATCAGAGTCCGGATCTCCATGTGGTTAGAATAGTGGAAGGCAGAGTATATTAAGTCTTAGCATAAATCCACTATTTAATATTGTGTGTGTGTCTCCCTATACATAAAAGGGTCACAGCTGAGATTCGTTTACTTTTTGGCATATTCTCTTTGGAGCTTTACAGAAAAGTAGCTCTGATTTTATTTACAGAGACACTTAGGAAGCCTCTCTGTGCCTGTGCGTTACCTGTGCAAGCAGCAGCGTGCGCAGGGCCGGGCCGTCTGCACGGGCACCCGCGCGGCCCCGCGGCGGCTCCTGCACAGCTCAGGGCACAGCCGTGCTCCGGTGACGCGCGGGGACGCACCACGCTGCAACACCTCAGCTGCGTGCGCAGCGTTTGAGCCGCTCTGCCTCTTGCTCGGAACGCCGGTGACGTCTGGCTTGGTGGCACTAGGGTATAGCCCGCAGCCTGGCCCTTGGAGCACAGAGGGAGGAAAATGCGTGGCTGTGTCCACTGTGCTGCGTGGACAGGGAGAGCTGCTGGGGAAGGGGAAGCCCTGTGTTAACCTGCAGCCTTCCATAGCTTGCGACTGAGGCAAGTCAAGGGCACTCCCGACCTTGTTTTGCCTTACAAGCAAATAGATTTTTAGCAGTTTTTAGCAAGGTTTTGAAGTTGGGTCTCTCTCAGATTTTACCTGTGTTTCCTGTGTTTCAACCCTTTGATTCTCCATCCAGTTCAATGGCAGACGCCTCCTTTGCCGTGGCTGGACTGACTCCAACTTCATCTTGCCTAGCCTGAGAACGGGGATCCACAACAAAACACGCAGGTTACCGCCTGTGAAACAGCAGCTTCTTGGTGTCTAACTGCTCCTTCCTGACCCGAGTCCTGCCCCCCACGCCTAGTAGGAACGAGCATTAGTAAAACAGAGCCACGGCCTGTGCCTGGTGTCCTGACACTGTCCTTAAGGCTGTGCAGAGCCCAGACAAATAGCAGAGTTTTAAGATTTTCTCCTTTTTTTTTTCCTCCTTTTAAGCTTTTATATATCTATTTGTATATAAACGTACATATATTTTTATATATATGTATAAAAATATATAAAAAAGAAGTAGATTTTTATATATAAAAAAATCTACTCCCCCTCTGTCATTTAATCTTTTCAGGTTTACTTTTCTTCCATACACTGGAGTGGCTTTCTCCCATTCAGTTCTACAACTTTTTTACAGCCTAAACTATATAAAAATCAGGGCAAAATCAGTGAGATTTGGCAGATGTAACTTTATGAGAACATAAGTCACTTTGTCCCAAGGCCAGGCAGAGCTCCCAGGACAAGCTGATGCAGAGCAGACTCTGCATGGCGTTGGCAAAGCTGTGCTGGAGCGTTTCCTCCCATTTGTCTGTCCTGAGGAGCCAGGGCAGCAAGTACAAGCTTTTAGTTACCGCTAGAGACCCAAACCACTGATTGAAATGAAGATGGCTAAAACATGAGACTTCAAATGAAGGTTCCCATAGATTAAAAATAGAAAATATTATTGTGGATTACATTGCACTACGATACTACCTTGCATACAGTTTTACTTTTCCAATCCATCTGTTACCTTTAATAAAGGCCCCAAACTGCTGTTTTTGGAAAAAGCAAAGCCAAAAGAAACAGTGCACTAAAAAAATGCACCCTGGTCTTAACGTTGGTCTGCACATGCAGGGGCCAGAGCAGAGGTCTGCTGTGCAAATCTTTAACATGTGGCACTGTTTTGAGCCTCCCCTCTAGTAATCAGCCAGTGCCTTAAAGCATAAGGCTTTTAAGTACCACTACAGTAGGGGTGACTACTAAGGTGCTTTACAGTGTCATTGATGTTAAAGCCAAGAAAGAAACAAAATTCTTTATCATAAACCCATAAGGAAGAATGGGTAAGTTTTTGCCTCCTGAATGTGGTATATTGCTTAGACACATATCTAAGTTAAGTGACTAAGCTTTTAAATAGCTTAGGCCATATAGTCATGAGTTGCAAGCAAATCTACCCTGAGCCAGCCTCAGTGGTGCTGAAGTCACCAAGCTCAGCGAGGTTTGCGGCCAGGGCGGTGGGCCCACGCGACGCAGCGATGGGAGGTGTTTCAGCAAGGCTGTTGTGTGCTCTGAATCTGCTTACTCTTGTTGACATTTATCAGTAGAGAACAATGCAGGAAGATTTTCTTGCCTATAACATAAATAGTGGTTCATTTAATCATGCACATTACAGGCCCCGGTGTGATTTTGCTCCTACACACTGCAGCATTATTAGTGTTGATCTGTGGATTAGCTCCCTACAGGGCTCTCTGGAAAAGGACTGGCGGAAGGCGTTTCCCATGCAGATCTCATACGAGAGTGTGAAGATTGCTGTTATTTAGCTTGTCTTAAAATGTAGGTCTCCCTGTGCTCTGCCATATAGAACTGGTTTACCCCACTATGCACCCATGTTGTGCAGCAGAGAACAGTGCCTTAGCCAACATCCCCTGCCCATTGGTAATGCACAGCAATCACTAGGGCGCCCAAGGGCACCTAAGGAAGTGCCTTAAGGAATGATATTGATCCTTTCTCATCCTGGTGCTGTCCCATACACCCCTGCAGAGCCAGTGCTACCAGCGGGACTCAGCGAGGTGGAGGCAGCGAGCGGGCACCTCCTCCCAAGGGCTGTGCAGCTCCCACGCGCGCGGCGCCGGCAGCGGAGCCGGCAGGGGCCCCGCTCGTGCCAACATCTGCGGGCCCTTGGGTGGCACCGCTGTGACAGTCACTGAAGTTACACTGGCCTCTGGGCTCCTTAAACTCATGCATCAGCTTGTACCAACTTTTCTTCAGGAGGAAGAAAAAACATATTTGGGTAATGCAGATTACCCTCTTTCCAGGCCAGTTCGTTTGCTTTCTGTCCCTGTCTTGGACCCCCGTGCGATGCCAGCGGTGCCCTTGCAGGGCAGCAAGGCAGGATCACAGCTGTGATCTCGTGAACACCTCATGAAAGTGTCACTCAGATTCCCAACATATCTACATCTGCTAACAAACACTTCAGAAATATTTTTAGCTCAGAATTGTGCTCTGTTCATATTAATAATAAATAATGGACAGATTTTATTATGTCTTAAACCTAGTGTTGCTTTCCAGTAAGAGATAGCATCGATATCGCTGCAGTCCAGTATTTTACTCTGTAATGTACTAGGCTGCTCTGTAGACTGCTTATTTGTTTGATTAATTTTTGTTTTCTGCAGAGGTTTGCTGTGAGCAAGACTTTAATCACAGTGTAGTCATTTAAGAATAAGTTATAGAATTATGGCTGAATAATATTCGTTCTGTGAGGACTCAAAAGACCAAATCCATCATTTAGATTCAGTTGCCTTTATCACTACAATTTTCTAAATTCTAATCTGATTTTTTTCCCCACATTGCAGGTGCTTGAAAGATTATTTCAGAAGGGGTTTAACGTGGCAGCTTCCTGTGGCGGCGGGGTGGATTCCTCCCAGTTCAGCGAATATGTGCTGTGTCGCGAGGACAGACGACCACAACCTACCCCAACGATCAGAATAAAACAGGAGCCCCTGGACTAGAACCTACCCTCACTCCTTTGTAACCGTAGAAGTGTTTAATAGTCCCTTATGTGAAACACTAAGGATTTGCAAACAGTATTAGCAAACAGATTTTGACTTCATGTTGCCAATTAGTGGTATTCTGAAACTACCTGTCACAAAGCCAGCCATGAAATGCATTTGGGAAACCCGTTGTCTGTTTTCCACGGTGGAAGCGCTGCGCGAGCTCGGCGCACCCGGCTCTGTGGGAAGGTGCTGGCAGCTGCACAGCTGTGGTGGTGGCAAAGGCGAAGCTCCAGCGCAGTCCTGACCCGAGCCGGGACTTCTGCAGAAAGACCAATTAAAGCAATTTGAATTTAGCAGGAGGAGAACCGAATCTGACAGCGTTTCCAGCGACAGCCGCCCCCACAGCCGCTGCTGACTGCAGGGAAGCGGAGGCCACCCCAAGGAAGAGGAGACACTAAAAACTGCGCCCAGAATCTTCCCTGACCGCACACTTTCCTAGAAGATGTGCTTTACACCTCCATACGTTGCATCACACTTCTGTGATTGTACTCATGCTAGCAAATGGCTTATTTTTATACAACATTTCCAACTGAAATCTCTCTCTGTGGACAGAATCCAGAATCAGAAAAGGACCGATTTATAGTCAACTGGTGCTCAGTACTTTAAAACAAACAAACAAAAAGCAACAAAAATTTGACAAGGTCAATTCTGGCCAGTATTTGCAACAGTAAGGATCTGGAAGCACAAAATAAAATGCCATCTACCATCATCCAAGGGCCACATACCTATCATGGAGCTGTAGTTCTCTTAAAGCCAGTCTTGTTTTGACTCAGAAGTTCAGAAATTGTTACGATTTGCATCATCTAAGAAGCGTGGTTCTGCTAAGCAAGCTCTGCTACCCCTTGTTACTCACTAACGGTGGTGTAGGCCCACGCTGAGGAGGAAACGTTAAGGACAACCCAACTCTTTATAGGTCTGGATTTTTACAAAAGGCTGTTTAAACCCCCTCCCTTCCCTTGTCTGATAAAAGCAGGCCACGTTTTGTTTAGATTGTTTTTCCTCTATTATTTTATAAACTAGTATTAAAATACTGATTCTGTAGCTGCCCTCTTCCTGTGTAATTTTCTCTTTAAAGAAGCCTGATGTCTGCAGGAGGCGACTGTTCCTTCCACGAATCAGTATCGACTCTTCTGACTCGCAGGGCTTCCTAACTCAGGAGACAGCACCACGTTTGCAGGTGCAAGGTTATAAATAGCATTCTGCTAAATCCTGTTTATTGCTGTTTAGCATGATTGGGTCCTCAATAACTAATTCATATGTTAATCACTATTTTGTTTCTCCCACATTAATTTATAGAATACTGTTGTAGATGCTGAATTTTAATTAAACTCTTTTTTAGATGCATAAATATGGCCATACAGAACAAGGGACAGAGTATTAAATGGTCAACAATTCTTTAATGCCAAATGATTACAATTGGGCAAAAACAAAACTCCAAGTCTAAGATTAGTCCTTTCAAAAGTGATGAGCTGTACGAATAGCCAAGGTACAGTGTACGCAGAGGTCTCATTTTTGGAGAAACGATGGAGACCTGCCCTGTGGGTTTGCTCATCTTGGATACCCAAATCTCTCATGAAAATTTTAGCCTATATGTATTGGCCTGCTAATTTAGCAGAACAGTTGAGCAAATCTGTCTACTTTAAAAGAGTTGTAAAGTTATTTTATTTTGTGGTTTTATACTTGTATGACACTAAAGTTGCTAGGTATTGCCATATTGGAATATATGGCACAGCATTCACCTTTGTATGTAAGATATCTGTAGAATTGTATATTATACATTTAATATTGTAAAGAACTTAACGTATAATTGTCATGTATTTGTGTATGCACATTTCTTATACAGTACTTCATGCCATAAACATTTCTGTAAAGTAAAGGATCAAAAATAAGCAAGTAGGGTGGCACACTCACTGTATCTGCCATGGTGTTGGGACAGGCGAGAAGCGTTGGTTGCGTCTCCTCTGGCCTTCTGCTCCAGTCAGCTTGATGTAGCCCTGTCTTACAAAGAAGAGAAAAAAAAAAAAAAAAGGTTTTTTTTTTATTACTTTGGTACATTGAGTTCACTATCAGTTCAGAACCGCGCCCCACAGGGAGGGGAGGCTCTGCAGGGGGCTGTGCCCTGCGCTGGCTCTCGGCCAGGAGGTGCCAAGGTGACCAAAGTCACCAAGGCGGCGGCCGCGTCACCTCTGTGCCTAAAACACGGGCCCACGTCTGCCGTTCGCACCCGGGCGAAGCCTCCCCGGCACCAACGCGGCTGCAGCCGGCGAGCACCTCCGGAGGCACCTAGGAAGCCACGGGAGGCATTTGGGCTCCGCGGGGGCGTTTCCCCTCAGTTTGGGGTTTGCCATTTCCCCTCACAGCTCAGTAAAGCAGCCCCGGTGCTTAGGGCCGCTGGGCCAGGCGGCAGCGTCGCGGCCGGGGAGCCGCCGTGGAAACTCTGAGCCATGAGCTCCCGGCGGGAGCCGCAGCGCGGGCCGAGGCCAGCGGGACATGTGGAAACAATCACTTTGCTAAAAGAAATATGCCTTTAAAAAACAAAAAGTTAAGCTAGGACATGTTCTTTTAGTTAGTAACTTCAGGTCACTTATTTAAAGTTTATTACAGTTTCGTTTATATCTTTTTTACTTATTTCCCTATATTGTTAAGCAGCAATATCAGCAAACACTGATTTGAATTTTTACTTCTGGCCTTAAACAATAGCAGTGTAACTTAATTAAAGAACATTGCTCAGTGCTGCTAAAATGGTTTTTAAATACCATCGAAACTCCAGTAAAACTGTGGTGTGCAGGAGGCCGATGTTTTCATTACGAAGGCCAAAAAGTAAACATAGTTTGTTTTTTAACTTATTTTGATTGACCAAAATAGTTCCCGTTCTCTTGTGCGAGCACCGAAACTGTGGTTTACAGAACGCCCGTCTTCTCTAGCACTTTTCCCACAACTCTGTTACACCACTGTGCTCCCCAGCCTCAGAAAAAAGTGAAAAGAGGAATGTTATGTTGTGCTTATTGGACTAAGCTGGTTTGGAAAAGCAACTGTTGAGTGCATTCATTCGCTGTATTAATAGCATCAAGGTTTGTTGACAATTTTATTAGATGTTTGACAAAGGATAAGAATCAGCACAACAAAACATTGAAGTATTTGGTTTTAATATTTCTTTGTGGGTACTCTGTTAATATTTTAATGCAAAATGTTTCTGAACAGTGCTTAAGAACTACAAGACAATGTGAAATTCATGTTTGATAAATTAATACTGTATGTCACTCGATGTGTTACTTTAGTAAATTGTTTTATTTCTTTACAAAATAAGTACAAATAAGGGAGTATGTTTTCACACAAATTGGGGGTATTTACGAGTATGTACAGAAATCATCAAAATAACGTAATTCTAATAAACACAAGGCCTTTATAAACAATATGTACAAATTATCAATACATTTAAAACATAATTTTACACTTCCTGGCCTTAAATACCTTATGAATAATCTTTTGGCTAAATAGCAGCAGTATAAATTTTCTTCTGCTTTTCATAAACCTTAAAAAATAATTAAAACTTTTGTTTTTAAAACTATTGGACAAATAGTTCTATTTGTGCTTTCGCTATGGTTTCCCATCAAAAAAAAAATTGCCTCAAAAAAGTGGCAAGCATAACATAGTAAAAAATGAAAGATAAATAAGCAATGTCTCCCTTCCATGGTTACTGATAATACTGTTATTTTTGAAGTACAACTTGTGCCCACCTGCTTGCTTCGTATTCCTATCCCATTTAAAAGACTCACACTCCCTTTGCTTGGCTTTGGTGTGGGCCCCTTAAATTCCAATTCAGCAAAGCATTTAAAAAGCATTCATTCCTCCTTTAAGTACTTAAAACTACCCATATGCTCAGAGCCATGCACGTATTTACGAGCCTCTCTGCACCGGAGTCCGCAGGTCCAGGGAGCCAGGGCAGGCGCCGACCGCGGCGCTCGCGACTCGGGCAAGCGCGGAGCCGGCCCCCAGGGACGTTAAAAATCCGTAGAGAATACTCTAAAATCTTTACTGAACAATACTCTCTTTTAAAACCATCATTAAACCATACTCTTTGCAATAAATAAATTAAGATATTTTTAGAAAATAAAACCCAACTTTGATTCATGTTACTCACCAGCTGCTACAAATGTGCAAAAGGTTGAATAGGTTTAGAAAACAACTGGAAGCTGGTCAAGGTAACTCAGCTGGGATCTGAATGCACAGATTTCACACACGTAGGATTTGGTTCAGCAAATGGCTCAGGAAATGAGCTGTGCAGTAAGAGCAAACATCCTAGATACATAAAAGTTGTGGGAGTGTGCAGTGGCTATTCTCTTAGCTGTGCAAAAAAATGCAATTTTAACTAATCTAAAATAACAACAGGTATCACCATGGCAAGTCAGTGGAAACAGTGCCAGTGAAACGTAAAGGAAACGAAACCCAGCACCATTAGTGAACGTAGAAGCTACCCCCATGGTTAGATCCCAGTGCTGTGAACCTGCCCCAGTCTGTCTCAGAGTGAGATGGTTTTTCGCAAGCCTTTGCTGTCAGTCTTTCTGTTTGTATAATTTCCAACTAGTCTATTTTAACCGCTTCAAAGTGGCCAAATGGAGTAAGACTTGGAAATTGTTTCTATTTGTGAATTTAACATTTTAAAACCTTTTGCACATTTTTTTTTCTTTTTAACATAAAGGGAATTTATTGCATGTGTCTGACAATTTTGCAAAACAAACTACAGAAACATTGACTTCTGAAAAAAATAGAAGGCACATTAAAATGACAGCTTTTCAATGCAAACTGAGCTTCTGTAATGGAGAGATATCAGTACAATTCTTGGCTTTACTTAAGCAGAGCTCGATAGAGCAGGAGAGAATGGCTCGTTTCTCTTTCCTGTTCCATGTAGAAGATGAAGTCCCTGAGGTTTACGCGAGTTATTTTCTGCCGTGCATACTGCCTGGATGTAGGAGTCCCCAGGCCAGCCTGACTTCCACCAGACATCCCGAGGCCCTGCAAAGGAAACACAGCAAGGTCAGAGTCCTGAAATGGTAAAGAGTTTCCTCCTACTCTCAGGTTTACAGCTTCCAACTGCAGGATTATTTTAAGAAACTTAAACCAATTTTCGTGAACCTAATCCTGGAAGCACTGCATGGGACTTGGTCTATCCTGAGTCTCACCGAGTTACCCTGAGCAAAGGAACTCACGGGAGAATGCGCTGGTAAGACGAGGCCTTCATTACAACCCGGCAAAAACACATCTGGGTAATTTTTCTGCTGCGGCCACGTTAACCATAGATGTATTTTATCATTAATTTCAAGAGCCTGTTTCAGAACAAGGACTACTTGCAAAAGATAAAGCCATCTTTAGTGTATCAAATGTATGTGCAATCCTGTTCACCCCGGTCCCGCGGCCTGGGCCAGCTTTGGAGCGCGGCTGCTGCAGGAGCCGCGGCAGCTCCGCGGCCCGGGGCCCAGGTCGCTGTCCTGGACACTCCACCAGTGCTCACCGAGAGGGAGGAAATACACAGGAAACAGAAAAAAAAAAAAAAACACAAGGAAGCCTCAGATATTGTTTGATGATACAGACAAACCTCAGTATTACATTTTTCTAAAGCCAC